GTTTGGAGCTAAATCCCAGCTTTGCTCTTTACTGGCTCTTTGCCCTTGGGCAAGTTACTTACCGTCTCCTGTGCCTTAATTTCTTTATCTGTAAATATGGTGATGATAATAGTGCCTATAGTTTAGAACAATGCCTGGGCAATTACAAGTGCTCAACACATTAGCTAGAATTATGTTATTATTTCTTATTTTAAAAGGTCAGGTGTTCAATTACTAGCCAACTTTCTTGAAAGTTGGAAGCTTTTGTGTCTTTGTTGTTATATAGACATAAATATTTAATTATAGTGTATGTGTATAGCTATATATGTATAGTTATGTAGAGAAAATATACATGTATATTAGCTATGGTAACATAAATTAGATACAGTACTCATGTTCTTTCAGTACTTAATTTCAGGGCTAAAAATATTTGTATCATTTTTTCCTACCTGAACTCATATCACAAAAGGACATATACACACTTCCATGTAATTCCCAAGACATTTGTGTCCTTACATGCATATTCATATTCTATGTCCCAGACTAATTGAATTTTCCACATTTCAGCCCCAAGAATCTTAAACTATGTGTCACTGTTACTTTGTGCTTTAGAACATAGTGTTCCTTTTGACTCAAAATCCTTTTATTTGGGACCTATTACGCCTTTAAGACCAAGCTTAAACATAACCTCTATGAAGCCTTTTTTTTTTTTAACATCTTTATTGGAGTATAATTGCTTTACAATGGTGTGTTAGTTTCTGCTTTATAACAAAGTGAATCAGTTGTACATATACATATGTCCCCATATCTCTTCCCTCTTGCATCTCCCTCTCTCCCATCCTTCCTATCCCACCCCTCTAGGTGGTCACAAAGCACGGAGCTGATCTCCCTGTGGTATGCGGCTGCTTCCCACTAGCTATCTATTTTACATTTGGTAGTGTATATATGTCGATGCCACTCTCTCGCTTTGTCACAGCTTACCCTTCCCCCTCCCCATATCCTCAAGTCCATTCTCTAGTAGGTCTGTGTCTTTATTCCCTTCTTGCCCCTAGGTTCTTCATGACGTTTTTTGTTTTTTTTCTTAGATTCCATATATATGTGTTAGCATACGGTATTTGTTTTTCTCTTGCTGACTTACTTCACTCTGTATGACAGACTTTAAGACCATCCACCTCACTACAAATAACTCGATTTCGTTTCTTTTTATGGCTGAGTAATATTCCATTGTATATATGTGCCACATCTTCTTTATCCATTCATCTGTCAATGGATACTTGGGTTGATTCCATGTCCTGGTTATTGTAAATAGTGCTGCAATGAACATTGTGGTACATGACACTTTTTGAATTATGGTTTTCTTAGGGTATATGCCCAGTAGTGGGATTGCTGGGTCGTATGGTAGTTCTATTTTTAGTTTTTTAAGGAACCTCCATACTGTTCTCCATAGTGGCTGTATCAATTTACATTCCCACCAGCAGTGCAAGAGGGTTCCCTTTTCTCCACACCCTCTCCAGCATTTAATGTTTGTAGATTTTTTGATGATGGCCATTCTGACTGGTGTGAGACGATATCTCATTGTAGTTTTGATTTGCATTTCTCTAACGATTAATAATGTTGAGCATTCTTTCATATGTTTGTTGGCAATCTGTATATCTTATTTAGAGAAATGTCTATTTAGGTCTTCTGCGCATTTTTGGATTGGGTTGTTTGTTTTTTTGTTATTGAGCTGCATGAGCTGCTTGTAAATTTTGGAGATTAATCCTTTGTGCATTGCTTCATTTGCAAATATTTTCTCCCATTCTGAGGGTTGTCTTTTGGTCTTGTTTATGGTTTCCTTTGATGTGCAAAAGCTTTGAAGTTTCATTAGGTCCCATTTGTTTATTTTTGTTTTTATTTCCATTTCTCTAGGAGGTGGGTCAAAAAGGATCTTGCTGTCATTTATGTCATAGAGTGTTCTGCCTATATTTTCCTCTAAGAGTTTTATAGTTTCTGGCCTTACGTTTAGGTCTTTAATCCATTTTTAGCTTATTTTTGTGTATGGTGTTAGGGAGTGATCTAATCTCATACTTTTACATGTACCTGTCCAGTTTTCCCAGCACCACTTATTGAAGAGGCTGTCTTTTCCCCACTTATATTCTTGTCTCCTTTATCAAAGATAAGGGGACCATATGTGTGTGGGTTTATCTCTGGGCTTTCTATCCTGTTCCATTGATCTATATTTCTGTTTTTGTGCCAGTACCATACTGTCTTGATTACTGTAGCTTTGTAGTATAGTCTGAAGTCAGGGAGCCTGATTCCTCCAGCTCCATTTTTTGTTCTCAAGATTGCTTTGGCTATTCGGGGTCTTTTGTGTCTCCATACAAATTGTGAAATTTTTTGTTCAATTCTGTGAAAAATGCCAGTGGTAGTTTGATAGAGATTGCATTAAATCTGTAGATTGTTTTGGGTAGTAGAGTCATTTTCACAATGTTGATTCTTCCAATCCAAGAACATGGTATAACTCTCCATCTATTTGTATCATCTTTAATTTCTTTCATGAGTGTCTTATAATTTTCTGCATACAGTTCTTTTGTCTCCTTAGGTAGGTTTATTCCTAGATGTTTTATTCTTTTTGTTGCAGTGGTAAATGGTAGTGTTTTCTTAATTTCACTTTCAGACTTTTCATCATTAGTGTATAGGAATGCCAGAGATTTCTGTGCATTAATTTTGTATCCTGCTACTTTGCCAAATTCATTGATTAGCTCTAGTAGTTTTCTGGTAGCATCTTTAGGATTCTCTATATATAGTATCATGTCATCTGCAAACAGTGACAGCTTTACTTCTTCTTTTCCAATTTGGATTCCTTTTATTTCTTTTTTTCTCTGATTGCTGTTGCTAAAACTTCCAAAACTATGTTGAATAAGAGTGGTGAGAGAACACAACCTTGTCTTTTTCCTGATCTTAGTGGAAATGCTTTCAGTGTTTCACCATTGAGGATGATGTTGGCTGTGGGTTTGTCATACATGGCCTTTATTATGTTGAGGAAAGTTCCCTCTATGCCTACTTTCTGCCTACTTTTTATCATAAATGGGTGTTCAATTTTCTCAAAAGCTTTCTCTGCATCGATTGAGATTATCATATGGTTCTTCTCCTTCAATTTGTTAATATGGTGTATCACACTAATTGATTTGCGTATATTGAAGAATCCTTGCATTCCTTGGACAAACCCCACTTGATCATGCTGTATGATCCTCTTAATGTGCTGTTGGATTCTGTTTGCTAGTATTTTGTTGAGGATTTTTGCATCTATGTTCATCAGTGATATTGGCCTGTAGTTTTCTTTCTTTGTGACATCTTTGGTTTTGGTATCAGGGTGATGGTGGTCTCATAGAATGAGTTTGGGAGTGTTCCTCCCTCTGCTATATTTTGGAAGAGTTTGAGAAGGATAGGTGTTAGCTCTTCTCTAAATGCTTTATAGAATTTGCCTCTGAAGCCATCTGGTCCTGGGCTTTTGTTTGTTGGAAGATTTTTAATCAGTTTCAATTTCAATGCTTGTGACTGATTTGTTCATATTTCCTATTCTTCCTGGTTCAGTGTGAAGCCTTTCTTATTTCTTACAAATACACTGTAGCCTCTGTGCTTTCGCTTAATTCTGTTTATTGCTCCACATAGAATTTATTCACTTTACTGTAATCATTTAAATTTATATCCATTCTTCTGGACCACTGGACTCCAAGAGTTTTTATTGTACCACTGTTAAAAGTAGTACAATAAACTATTAAAAGCAAATATCATATATATGCCATATATGTACATATATGGATATATACACATATATGTATGGCATATATATAATGTATATGCCATATATTAGTACAGTATTACTGTACTAATACATACATTAAGGACCTTAGCCAGAATTAGAAATTTTTTTTAATGAGGTAAAGATGAAGTACAAGCTTTTTAAATAATTTTTCAATTTTGAATTTATAAATCATACATTTTAAGATAATTATAAAAATAATTTTATGTATTAATATACAAAAAAAATCTCATGTATTATAAGTAATTTTCTGAATGCTTAGTTTCAAATGTCTTATCAATTTTGATGACTTCGTTCCATATACCATCATTAGATAATATCTCAAGGAACAATATGCATTTAGGGTGAGGTTTATTGTTATTTTTTTTCATTTTTAAATTTGTGATTCTTTGTTACAATATAACTATACTGTCATTGTTATTATGTGGCAAAGAGTTTGTAATGAGAAAAAGATGTGTGTCAGCTCTGTCTTTTTCTTATTAACCTGTGCTTGCATTATTAGTATTATCTTTATGATTTTGCAAGACTATGTTTTTGGTTAGTCATAGAGAAAGCATAGGAAATAATATAATTATCCATGTACCCACCACTCAGCTTAAATAATAAAACATTGCACGTACAATGGAAGCCCTACAAACATCATTTTTATTCTCTTTTCCATTTTGTGAGGACTCATTCAGATACTACGAGTTATCCATAAATCGAGGGCACACATAAAATTTAGTGCATTGAAGGACACAAAAGAACACTAATGAATGATAACACTGCCAACCTTATACACTTAGAACCTCCACTGTTCCTCCAAGATAACTTTGTTTACTGTATGCAGTGTATGACCATCTACCTTGCAAACTGACAAAGGTGCCAGTGTCAATCATATATTACCATAGTAAAGTTTAAATTTCTAATTTTTAGATAATAAATTTAAACTGGAATTTTAATATGTTCTTCCTGTGCAGCAGTGATTTATTCTGGTGCTCTACCACCACCTTTAGAGGTCACTGCTCTAAACTATAAACCCCTCAAAAACAGAGATTTTATTCTTTATTGTAACTGTGCCATGCACAGTACATAAAAGAGAAGTTCAATAGAAGTTTGCCAACTGAATGAAAGAAACAGGTTTTCTGTGATGTTTGAAGGTAACTTGGAAGTTTACAGTGGGTATATACTGTCTACTCAGCTTGTGTAAATTTTGACATTGTCCTGGCATTTGTTTAAGATTCTACTGTTACAAGAAGAAAACAAATTGTTGAAAATAAGCACAGAAGTCTTTTAGAGCAAAAAAGACAAAACCCTGGATCTGTAGGACAGAAGTACAGTGAGCAGATGAATGTAAGTACAGTGTTAGTAAAAATCTTTATTCAATAGTGAAAAATTGCTTGGAAAACAGAATATTCTTACAGGATTGTGCTTTTCCTGTAAACTGTGCACCACAACATAAATGATATAGCCAAAGCCATTGTGAAGCAGTGCAGACTCTATGCTAGGGGCTTACTGCACTGTACTAATACACTATATTCTAGTTAGCCTAAATGATCAGTTACTAATGAATATTTTAAACTAACTTTAAGAAATCACATTATTTTGCTTGTTATTTATACTCAACTCTGGGAAAAAACAGGTTATTCACAACAGTTATTTAAATATACATTAAAAAATGAAAAAAAAAGAAGAGTAAATTAGAGCCATGGAAACAGGAAGCAAGTATGCTTATCATGAAGACTAATATAGTTCCATGTGTTTAAATATCCTATTGGTATCTAAGCTTCCTGGAAGACATGGCAAGAAGGAAAATAACGTGTTGCATAGTTACCAGGGGATATCAATAATGATTTCATATGAGGTATACTGTATTAAAAGCCATTTTCCATTGAGAATCCTCTATAGGGAACCTTGAAGTTCATAATAGATATATCCCTATTAACAGTCAACAACAAATAAATAAGGAGTTTCATGTGCTGTTTCAAATAGAGATCTTCAATAAAGGTCCATAGCATAATAATGTTGATTTAAAAATTAGTGGATGTAATTCTGTAAGAGCTAAGTAAATGTGACCTAAATATGATATTTTCTAGAGGTCTAGCATGATCCAAGGGTTGAATTTAAAATATTAAAAAATCTTGGGGACTTCCCTGGTGGCACAGTGGTTAAGAATCCTCCTGCCAATGCAGGGGACACGAGTTCGAGCCCTGGTCTGGGAAGATCCCACATGCCACAGAGCCACTCAGCCCGTGCGCCACAACTACTGAGCCTGCACTCTAGAACCTGCGAGCCACAACTACTGAGGCTGAGTGCTGCAACTACTGAAGCCCCCACACCTAGATCCCATGCTGTGCAGCAAGAGAAGCCACTGCAATGAGAAGCCCACTCACTGCAATGAAGAGAAGCCCCGGCTCGATGCAACTAGAGAAAGCCTGCATGCAACAATGAAGACCCAATGCAGCCATAAATAAATAAATAAATTTTACAAATATTAAAAAATCTAGATGGATAAGTGAATAGCATTTCACTTGAAGTTTCTACCTTAAATACCACTTCTGATTTTTAATAGAACTGGAAATAGAGTGTTTTATGAGGAATTTATATTCCACGTCAAAGGTTGAGGGTCCTATTATTTGCATACTGTAGAAACTATTGATTTTTATATAGATGATTATTAATATGAAGAATTATCAACAGTGATTTAATTTTATCAGCAAAACAAGTCATTTAGTTTTTTATTTATGTAAATATTGTCTCATTACCAATATATTTTTACTGTTTAATAACAAACTTAATTACAAACATAACTTCCTGATTACAAATAGAATAATGCCTAAGTCCTTCCTTTTAATTTCCATGTTGTCCACATCGAACATCTCAAAATCTATAAAGTGAACAAATTTTATCTTTATTTTTTCTTTATTTTTATTAATATACATTAAATTTAAAAGTAATGTGTAGTTGTTATAACAAAAATAGAACAAATTAAATTTTAAATGCCATTATTAGTGCCCTTTGTAAATTCATCTTTATTTTTCTGTGTCTTATTCTGTTCTTCTGTGTCTTGCTCCTTTGCATTCTATCTTGCTGTCTTTAGAGTCCATTTATATTCTTTCCAGAAGCTTCACTTCCACTTTCACATAATACACATCTTCCACTCACACACCACTTATACATCTACCAAAGTCTTGTTAGCTTTAAAATAGGTCAGTGTTCCTGAATCAAAACAAAGTTTTGAAGTTTATTTGTTTTTCATCCTTGTTTTGTTTTGATATTTGGTTTTGGGTTGGGTTTGATTTTGTTTTTACTCAAGAGCTTAAACAAGCATTCAATTACTATAGCACCGGCCCTGTCACCTTGTATTAGGAAATATATTTTATCAAAGTGGATATTTTCCCAGGCACTACTACTACATGGAGAGAATCTAAAAGAGGTTAGTGAAAGATAGATAAAGCACAATTGCCACTTTGTGCCAGGGTCTCAGTCCAGGTTGTCTCAAGTCTATAATGGAGTTTAGGTGAGGCTATGAGAGCTATCGAAGCAGGGCTGTTGAAGAAACCTGCATCGGTTACTCTTCAAATTAGACTGAACAAAAGCTAGGTATAGTCATAGCCAGGCAATTTTATCTAAGAGAAACAGTCAGTTCTTAAGAGTGGAACAGAATGGGGGTAAAGAATCAAAGTAGACCATATCCAAGGAAGGAGAGTTGGTATCACTCATAGTATTGAATGGGAGTGCTAATTGCCAGTGCTCTGATATTTTTCATTTCCCAGTACTGTGCAACATCGAGGCAGCTATTTCTGTTTTAAGTTTTGTCACCTAAGACACTTACCTGTCCTTTGCATTAGCCATAATCAGAGGCTTTTGGCTACTATCAATAATTGTGACTTACCCTTACAAGGATAAACCAGCCTTAAGGTAATTTTTTACCTTTCCTTTAGTTAGCACTTCTGATTGCCACCCAACTTACTTCCTTCTTTCAAATGTCCAAGACAATATTGCAAACTGAAAATTTACCAAACTCTACGTAAAACATTTTTCTAATCTTTAGGCATCATAGAAAGGTCTTATTCCCATAATTCTTGATTTCTGCTCCAAAAAAAAAGAAAATATATATTATATGAACAGAGATAGCTGAAAATATAAACAGCAAGTAAAAGTCTGCTAAGTCAATATATCATTAATTTTAAATATGGAATTATATTCTGATTCAATATTCTATTTTTATAGAATTTTGGACAAAGTGTCCAACTAAGTTCAAGTGAGCCAAAACAAACCACAAGGGCTACTTCTAATATTGAAGAAGGTATGTTTTAGTTTAAACATTTTCCTCTTAGCTTTGTTCCCAATGATTTCTTTTTTGTTGTTGTTATACATATTTTCCCAAGTACTTACAGATTACATGACTGTTAAATGACCATTTGGGGACCTGAGTTCTCCACACCCTGCACATTTAGATTGTTGCCAGTTTTTTTATTTATTCTAAATAGTAATGTACTGAATATCTATCTACATTGTTTTTTCGGACTTTTCAATTATTTCCATATTTAGATTCCCAGAATTAAAATTACAGTACTTGGCATTAATTGGCACCCAATTAATATTTGTTGAATTAAACTCTGTATTAAATGAGTACTGGATCAAAGGAAATAAACATTGTTAGAGGTTATTATACATATTCCTATAGCATTTTCCTGAAAAGTATTATCATTCAAAATTCTTCTGGGGTGTATGCCAACTTGAGGTAGAATCACTTCTATTATTTACTTATAAGACAGACAAATAAATGATATATTATTAGTTTTTATTTGTACATCTTTTATTAATAATAGGCTTAATTGGTTTTTTTTGTTTGTTTGTTTTTTGGTTTTTTTGCGGTACGCGGGCCTCTCACTGTTGTGGCCTCTCCCGTTGCAGAGCACAAGCTCCGGACACGCAGGCTCAGCGGCCATGGCTCACAGGCCCAGCCACTCTGCAGCATGTGGGATTTTCCCGGACCAGGGCACGATCCCATGTCCCCTGCATCGGCAGGTGGACTCTCAACCACTGTGCCACCAGGGAAGCCCTGTATATTTATTTTGATGAAATATTTCTTCATATTATTTTTCCCTGTAAATACTGGAGTTTTAGTATTTTCTTAATCATTTCTGAGAACTCTAAATATCAAGGATTCTGATCCTTATGTTAGTTACAAATGTTTTTACCACTTTACTATGTGCATTTTATTCCACTTAATGTTTTATTTTTACATATAGAAGTCTTACTTTACATTTTTTCATTCAATAAATAATTATTGAGAGCCAATCTCCTGCCTGCAACTAAATATTTTGGATATTCAATAATTAACAAAACGTACAAAATTCTTGGCCTTCAGAATTTAAAATCTATTAGGGAAGTCTGACCTTAAATAAACATGTTTTTAGTCTTTTCTTAGTGATTTGTCCATTACTCAAAGAAATTTCCCAATGCAGAAAATTAGAAATGTTTCTTTTCCTCTAGATTATTTTAATGGTTTGATTCATTAAATTTAATTCTTTAATGTCTTTGGAATTTGTTTAAATAGATGATGTGAAGTGATACTCCAAATTGATTATTTTATAAACAACAAACTAATTTATTGAGTCATCTTTCCCTTCTCTCAAGTCTTTGATACTTCTTTGATCATATATTCTTTTATTGAATTTGGTCAGTTTCTAGGCTTTCAATTCTGTTCAGCTGATCATCTAATTTTCTAAAATTTCCATAAGTTCCTTTTCTCTTACTTTTATTTATAACTCATCATAATTGCTATTATAAAGACAATCTACTTCACCTTCTCCTTGAACTACCAATGAATAACAAAAGCAAAACAGAAATAATATACGTAATGTATTTTTTTTTCCTTAGTTCAGGTAACACTCTAGAAATTATTACCTCACTGCCATCATTTTGAGTATTTTTTTTAAATTAGAGATGGGGAAATGGTAGCTATAGAAGATCCTGGTAAATAAAATGCAAAGTAACAAAAGATTTACTAGGTTTCTGTTTGTGAAATGAATACATACAGACATATATCAGTTAAGTATGTATAAGGGCTAATCCCAAAGACAAAAAGGGATCAAAGAATAGTTAATGTAAAGTTTCTATAGTTTCAGGCAGTACTTCTGAATTTTTGATGGCTGAAAACCTAGTGAAAGCTTCAGTGCCTGAGGATGAAATTCTAACTGTCATGAATAGCAAGCAGCTACAGAAATCAAATCTGACTTTAAATAAAACCCAGCAATTTAACATCTGTGCACTATCAGCTGAAGAACAAAAGATCCTACAGTCCCTTAATCATCTCAATGCAAGGTTACACTGTAAGTATGGAAGAACACCTTTTGTAAGAAATGTTGAATTTTATACTTAAACAGTTTTAATTTAAAATTTAATTTAAAAATTGAAAATAAAAATACAAAATGTATCCAGATTATCACCTACTTGAATCAAGTATATAACAAAAATTTATTTGAATATACCATACTATTTCGGGTATATTGTACTCATTTCATTTATGCTGATGCCAATTTCATTGGCAGGCTTAACAGTCTTTTGGGAATGTTTGAATAGACTTCATTTCAGCAGTGCGACAGGCTATCTGTACTGACCATCCATCAAAAACAACCATAAATTCAGGATTAAGTACTTTAAAAATCTTAAATATAGCAATGAGCTGGTAAGAATATAAGAAATTCTTAAGACCAGGAAGTAAATATAAATAAGAACCTAGAATGATAAGGAGAGTGCTGCTGCTAGCTTTTCTCTTGAGAACATTTAACCCATAGAGTGAAATTGAGCTTTGCTTTTCATGGCCTCACAGAAAAATGGGAACAGAAGACAAAAGCCATGGCCTACTTAAGATGAGTAGCCTCGTAGAAGATCCTCCCACCCTAAAGTTGGGCCTCCCAAAGAGCTACATCTTATACAGACTTACACTGCCAGAGAAACAGAGAGAGGGGTAAAAAGAAAAAAAAGAAAGCTTACATAACTTAAGTTTCAGTATTAAGCAGATGAGGGGAGACGACATGCAAGCTTTTTTCACCTCTCTGCATGTATGTCTGTGTAGGATGTAACTCTTTAAGAGGTTTTGTCAACAGCAGTCTCTTACTAAAGGAAATTCTAAAGAATGTACTTCAGCAAACCAAAAATAATCTCAGATGGACAGTCTGAGAGGGTAAATTTGAACATTGTATAAAACAATAAATGTAATTTAAAAGTTGTATGTGGTTCAAAGAGAAAACAGAATTTAAATACCTATCAAAAATAATACATAAGTTGGAGAACATAAATGGTGTTAAAGTGTGCTAGGATTCTTGTATTATTAAGGAATTGAGTAAAGATACAGGTTAACTTTAGATGTTGATAAATGAAGCATGTCTATGGTAATTACTAAGGTCACAACTAAAGAGTCAGAAATAGAGTATACAAATTCCAGACTCTTAGAGAAAGAAAGTGACATGCAAAAGAAAAAAATCAAATCAAACCAAGTTAACACAAGAAAGGAGATAAAAATAATCATAGAAGAGATAGGACAAAAGGACAAATACAAATACTATACTATAAGATGGTGTATACAAATGTATATAATAAATGTAAAAATATATGTGTATTTTCATATATACAGTATTCATATATAATGCATATATATAAATGTGTATTTACTGTGTGTGTGTATATTCCACTTCTGCCTAAAATGTAGAAAATTGGAATATAGCAATCGCACACTAAGAATAAGAAAAAGCAGATAAACAACACAAGTATAGATTTTCTTAAACCCATTAGAGAGCTGAGGTTCCAGCACAACCAAGTAGGCTGACATCCAAGGAAAGACAGGAACTTCCAAGGAGAGACATGACATGACAATTGGCTCAACTGTGGCTGAATAAGGGAGAAAAAAAAATGCCAGGCTCCATACAAGTTGATATTAGGAATTATACATATATTTTTAGCAAATTGCTCAAGGATAAATGTGAACTATTGTGAGAACATAAAATCCCCAGGAGCCTAGACACTCTTCTTGTTCACACCACTCACAGATTCTTCTTTATGAACCCACACTGTGTGTTCATGAGAAAAAGAGGGGGCAGAACAAGAATCCAGAGAAATCCTCTCTCAGTGGTGCAGGCTTGGAAAAGGGGAACAGCCACCACTGTAGGAATGGTATGAAGCCCCATGCCGAACCTTCTCTCCTACAGAATAAAGGTCATAAAGTACTGGGACAGAGGCAGCAAACTTCGTTGATTGCCCCCAGGGCACAAATGAAGACTTACTCCGGATAGGGGAAAGGTAAAAGAAGTAAGCTTCTACTTCTGGAGAAGGGGCAAGAAAGAGGCATGGGCCCAGATTATTAGAGGTATCCTGCTATAGGAGGAGGGACGCAAAATTGTCTTGTGCAAAACCTGCCAAAGATACAAGGCAAAGTTGACTGCCATGGGAAGGAGGAGCAGGATGACTAAGAAGGAATAGAGGACATGCCTAAGACAGCCTCGACCAGGACAACAGAAAAATCTCCCTACTCCCCGACCACAAGGCCAGCAAGTACCAAAACACAAGCCATAGAAATCAGCTGGAGAAAGGTAAGGGCATAGAGAGAATCTAGTGATATTGTGCAGACACACAGGAAGGCCAAAAGCTGAAAGTAGAGCAGGAAAATTGAAGGAAAAAAACCTCCATGACTCCTGCAGAAGCACAAAATAACACCAGAGGATTTTGAAACCATTGGTGTACTGAAGGTCACCATAGCAACAATAAAACCCAAACCTAGCTCAATTCCTAAGTTGATTAACTACACACAGACACACACACACAGAAACACATATACACACACACGTACACATACATACACACATCAATTGCCTAACAGAAAAGACATGCCCATTTCCAGGCACAAACACTATTTACCTCAGTATCCACTATTCTAAACAAGAAGTCCAACATTCAATCAAAACTTACAAGACACAAAGAAGCAAGGAAAAAATCTCTGTCAAGGGACAAAGCAATTAACAGATTGAGACACAGAGATGACCCAGATGTTGGAACTATCAGATAGGTAATTTTAAATAACTATGACTAATATGTTAAAAGGTTATAGTGGAAAACGTGGACAACATGGGAAAGAGTCTACAAAAATGGACAGATACAGAATTTCAGCAGAGAGATGGAACCCATACAAAAGACTCAAATAGAAATATGAAAAATAAGAACACTGTAACAGAAATGAATAATGTATTCTATGGGCTTGTCAGATTCAACAGAGATGAGGAAAGAATCAATGAATTTGAGAACAGGTGAGAGAAAATTTCCAAACTGAAACACCAAGAGAAAAAAAAAGATTGAGGGAAAATACAAGAACTGAGGATCTAAGAGCTGTGGGACAATATAAATCAGTCTCACAAATATGTGATTGGGATCCCAAAGTGAGAAATTGCAGCCTTTTTTGCTGGGAGAAGGAGCTACTGATTGGGTATAGGTAAAGCCCCTCTGACATGAGGTGAGAACATGTTTGTGGGTCCCAGGTAACTATGAAGAACTTTTGGGGTCATTTTGAGACTTCATATTGTAACAATTGGATACCAGATAGAAAGAAATTAAATTGAACCCCTACCAAATAACATACATAAAAGTCAGTTACAAGGTGATTAAAGATTAAATATGAAAGAAAATATATAAAGCTTTTAGGAGATACTATAAGAAAGTATTTTCTAGCCTCAGGGTAAGGTAGGATTTCTTAAGTAGAGTACAAGGATCAAAATCCGTAGAGGAGAAAAATAATAAATTTAACTATATTAAAATTACAAACTTTTCTTCATATCAAAACATCATTAAAATAATGAGAAAACAGGCCACAAAATAAGAGAATATATCTATAATACATAGGAAAAAGACCCTTGTCCAAAATATATAAAGAACTCCTACAGGGGAAGAGGGGGAAGATGGCGGAAGAGTAAGACGCGGAGATCAGCTTCCTCCCCACAGATACATCAGAAATACATCTACACGTGGAACAACTCCTACAGAACACCCACTGAATGTTGGCAGAAGACCTCAGACCTCCCAAAAGGCAAGAAACTCCCCATGTACCTAGGTAGGGCAAAAGAAAAAAGAATAAACAGAGACAAAAGAATACGGACGGGACCTGCACAAGTGGGAGGGAGCTGTGAAGGAGGAAAGGTTTCCGCATACTGGGAAGCCCCTTTGCGGGCAGAGACTGGGGGTGGCGGAGGGGGGAGGCTTCAGAGCCGTGGAGGAGAGCGCAGCAACAGGAGTGCAGAGGACAAAGCGGAGAGATTCCCGCACAGAGGATCGGTGCCAACCAGCACTCAGCCCCAGAGGATTGTCTGCTCATCCGCTGGGGTAGGAGGGGGCTGGGAGTTGATGAGGCTTGGGCTTCAGTCTGAGTGCAGGGAGAGGACTGGGGTTGGCTGCGTGAACACAGCCTGAAGGGGTTAGTGCACCACCGCTAGCAGGGAGGGTGTTCGGGAAAAAGTCTGGACCGGCTGAAGAGGCAAGAGACATTTTCTTCCCCCTTTGTTTCCTGGTGCATGAGGATTAAGAGCACTGCTTAAAGGAGCTCCAGAGATGGGCGTGAGCTGCGGCTAACAGTGTGGACCCCAGAGAAGGGCATTGGATGCTAAGGCTGCTGCTGCAGCCAACAAGAAGCCTGTGTGCGAGCACAGGTCACTATCCACACCTCCCTTCCGGGGAGCCTGTGCAGCCCGCCACTGCCAGGGTCCTGTGATCCAGGGACAACTTCCCCGGGGAGAATGCACGGCACGCCTTAGGCTGGTGCAACATCACACCATCCCCTGCCGCAGGCTCGCCCTGCATCTGTACCCCTCCCCCCCCCCCCCCCGGCCTGAGTGATCCAGAGCCACCAAATCAGCTGCTCCTTTAACCCTGTCCTGTCTGGGCGAAGAACAGACACCCTAACGCGACCTACAAGCAGAGGCGGGGCCACATTCAAAGCTGAACCCCGGGAGCTGAGCGAACAAAGAAGAGAAAAGGAAATTACTCCCAGCAGCCTCAAGAGCAGCACATTAAATCTCCACAAACAACTTGATGTACCCTGCATTGGTGGAACACCTGAATAGACAACGAATCAACCCAAATTGAGGAGGTGGACTTTGAGAGCAAGATTTATGATTTTTTCCCCTTTTCCTCTTTTTGTGAGTGTGTATGTGTATGCTTCCGTGTGAGATTTTATCTGTATAGCTTTGCATTCACCATTTGTCCTAGGGTTCTGTCCACCCGTTTTGTTTTTTGTTTTTTTTGCGGTACGCGGCACTCTCACTGTTGTGGCCTCTCCCGTTGCGGAGCACAGGCTCCGGACGTGCAGGCTCAGCAGCCATGGCTCACGGGCCCAGCCGCTCCGCAGCATGTGGGATCTTCTCAGACCGGGGCACGAACCAGTGTCCCCTGCATCGGCAGGCGGGCTCTCAACCACCGCACCACGAGGGAAGCACTTTTTTAAAAAAAATTTATCTAAATTATTTTTTATTTTAATAACTTTTATTTTATCTTTATTTTATTTTATCCTCTTTCTTTCTACTTTTTCTCCCTTTTATTCTGAGCCGTGTGGATGAAAGGCTCTTCGTGCTCCAGCCAGGAGTCACTGCTGTGCCTCTGAGGTGGGAGAGCCAACTTCAGGACACCGGTCCACAAGAGACCTCCCAGCTTTACGTAATATCAAACGGTGAAGATCTCCATCTCAACACCAAGACCCAGCTTCACTCAAAGACCAGCAAGTTACAGTGCTGGACACCCTATGCCAAACAACTAGCAAGACAGGAACACAACCCCACCCATTAGCAGAGAGGCTGTGTGAAATCATAATAAGGCCACAGACACCACAGAACACACCACCAGATGTGGACCTGCCCACCAGAAAGACAAGATCCAGCCTCATCCACCAGAACACAAGCACTAGTCCCCTCCACCAGGAAGCCTACACAACCCACTGAACCAACCTTAGCCACTGGGGACAGACACCAAAAACAACAGGAACTACGAACCTGCAGCCTGCAAAAAGGAGACCCCAAACACAGTAAGATAAGCAAAATGAGAAGACAGAAAAACACATAGCAGATGAAGGAGCAAGATAAAAACCCACCAGACCTAACAAATGAAGAGGAAATAGGCAGTCTACCTGAAAAAGAATTCAGAATAATGATAGTAAAGATGATCCAAAGTCTTGGAAATAGAATAGAGAAAATGCAAGAAACATTTAACAAGGAACTAGAAGAACTAAAGAGGAAACAAGCAACGATGAACAACACAATAAATGAAATTAAAATTAATCTAGAAGGGATCAATAGCAGAATAACTGAGGCAGAAGAACGGATAAGTGACCTGGAAGATAAAATAGTGGAAATAACTACTGCAGAGCAGAATAAAGAAAAAAGAATGAAAAGAACTGAGGACAGTCTCAGAGGCCTCTGGGACAACATTAAATGCACCAATATTCAAATTATAGGGGTCCCAGAAGAAGAAGAGAAAAAGAAAGAGACTGAGAAAATATTTGAAGAGATTAGAGTTGAAAACTTCTCTAATATGGGAAAGGAAATAGTTAATGAAGTCCAGGAAGCACAGAGAGTCCCATACAGGATAAATCCAAGGAGAAACATACCAAGACACATATTAATCAAACTGTCAAAAATTAAATACAAAGAAAACATATTAAAAGTAGCAAGGGAAAAACAACAAATAATACACAAGGGAATCCCCATAAGGTTAACAGCTGATATTTCAGCAGAAACTCTGCAAGCCAGAAGGGAATGGCAGGACATATTTAAAGTGATAAAGCAGAAAAACCTACAACCAAGATTACTCTACCCAGCAAGGATCTCATTCAGATTTGATGGAGAAATTAAAACCTTTAATACAAGCAAGAGCTGAGAGAGTTCAGCACTACCAAACCAGCTTTACAACAAATGCTAAAGGAACTTCTCTAGGCAAGAAACACAAGAGAAGGAAAAGACCTACAATAACCAACCCAAAACAATTAAGAAAATGGGAATAGGAACATACATATTGATAATTACCTTAACTGTAAATGGAATAAATGCTCCCACCAAAAGACACAGACTGGCTGAATGGATACAAAAACAGGACCTGTATATATGCTGTCTACAAGAGACCCACTTCAGACCTAGGGACACATACAGACTGAAAGTGAGGGGATGGAGAAAATATTCCATGCAAATGGAAATCAAAAGAAAGCTGGAGTAGCAATTCTCATATCAGACAAAATAGACATTAAAATAAAGACTGTTAGAAGAGACAAAGAAGGACACTACATAATGATCAAGGGATCGATCCAAGAAGAAGATATAACAATTGTAAATATTTATGCGCCCAACATAGGAGCACCTCAATACATAAGGCAAATACTAACAGCCATAAAAGGGGAAATTGACAGTAACACATTCATAGTAGGGGAATTGAACACCCCACTTTCACCAATGGACAGATCAACCAAAATGAAAATAAATAAGGAAACATAAGCTTTAAATGATACATTAAACAAGATGAAATTAATTGATATTTTTTGGACATTCCATCCAAAAACAACAGAATACACATTTTTCTCAAGTACTCATGGAACATTCTCCAGGATAGACCATATCTTGGGTCACATATCAAGCCTTGGTAAATTTAAGAAAATTGAAATTGTATCAAGTACCTTTTCCGACCACAACGCTATTAGACTAGATATCAATTACAGGAAAAGATCTGTAAATATTACAAACACACAGAGGCTAAACAATATACTACTTAATAACAAAGTGATCACTGAAGAAATCAAAGAGGAAATCCAAAAATACCTAGAAACAGGGCTTCCCTGGTGGCGCAGTGGTTGAGAGTCTGCCTGCTGATGCAGGAGACACAAGTTCATGCCTTGGTCTGGGAAGATCCCATGTGCCACGGAGCAGCTGGGCCCGTGAGCCATGGCCGCTTAGCCTGTGAGTCCAGAGCCTTTGCTCCGCAATGGGAGAGGCTACAACAGTGAGAGGCCCACGTACTACAAAAAACCAAAAATACCTAGAAACAAATGACAATGGAGACACGATGACCAAAAACCTATGGGATGCTGCAAAAGCAGTTCTAAGAGGGAAGTTTATAGCAATACAATCCTACCTTAGAAACAGGAAGCATCTCAAATAAACAACCTAACCTTGCACCTAAAGCAATTAGAGAAAGAAGAACAAAAAAACTGCAAATTTAGCAGAGGGAAAGAAATCATAAAGATCAGATCAGAAATAAATGATAAAGAAATGAAGGAAACGAT